TGGAGCTAATGACATTGAGAATTACATATGCGATTTTGTTTAAATAATTAATTTTTCCAATTTTTATATTATTTTTTCAAAGTTTGTATTAATTTGTATTAATTTTGGTATAAACGTTGCAATAATACATATTTCCATTTTCTCATTAATAATTCATAAAACATTTTCCATGAAGTATTTATTTTATTAATTTTATATTAATTTCTTACGATTTTTGCTTTGCGCATAATTACCTGACGTGTGAAAAATTTATTCGCTTTTTTTACTTTTTGTCACGTTTGTAATGTTGTCAAATACAATGTTATCAAATGAATAATTGTTCAATATGAGAATACATATCGATAGAAGAATGTTTATAATTTCCGTGTTTATATTGAAGTTTCAGTTTCAAAAAATCACATCGCAACAATGAATTCCCCTTAAGGGGATCCTAAAGTCATCTGTATTACCGACTAAATCATATAATTTTTTTACAACAAATACTTTTTTCTCTTTCACAGATTCGAATTTTTACAGATCCTTTTTTAGGATTAAAGTACACGCATTAATACGTGTCTCTAAGGTGGAGTTTATGCAGAGAACGATCAAAAATTTCGAAATTGATATATTTTTTACTATTTCTTACAAGTAGTGTAATGGCGTCTTAAGCTATCAAATCGTGACATTTATTTGATACAAAAATTTTGCAACCTGTACTTACAAAATAGTAATCCACAAACACGTAGTTTGCGAACAAATAACGTCCTTAGATAGTTCTTAGAATTAGATTTATCGTGACGAATTTATTATACGAAAATTGACACAAGTATGCGATTGCGTGCATCATAGATTGTGTGAGATATTGCTGTGATACACTAGTATATAAAGATATTCGTATATCGATGCGCTAAAAAAACAGTGATCTTTGATGACTTCGTCTGAGTTCGAGCTTCACTTTAGAATCCCCTTAAATGCGCTTAATTCCCTCACTTTCCCCTACTACTTTTTACGAAAATGTAGCAAAATCATTTCATTACTTAGCTGAGATCTATTTACTGATTATCTTATCATTTTGATCTTGAATGGCATCGCCAAGGTCAGGTCACATCGATTTTTTTTTTATTGGAACACCTTATTTTTGATTCCAGAATTTAATAGCTGTTGTCAAGAGCTTTTCAAAACACTACAATAAGTTATTTTTCATAAAGTACTTTTCGAATTATAAGGTTTGAAAGTTACAGTACCATCGTCATTAGTATTACATAAGGTTATCTAAATAACGAAATGTTCTAAAACATGATCCTGAACAATATTCAAAAGGTTTAAACAGGTCGATCGGACACCTTACGTAATGTTAATGCCGGCGGTACTGTATCTTTCAAGTGTTATAATTCGAAAAATAACTTTATTGTAGTGTTTTGGAAAGCTCTCAACATCAGCTATTAAATTCTGGAATAAAAAATAGGAAATATATTTCATTAAAAAAAAATTGATGTGATCTTGATCTGATCTTGGCGACGCCACCTAAGATCATCAAATTGATAAGATCAGTAAATAGATCTTTTTAAATCCTATAACTTTTGTCTGAAACATTTTTCTGTAAAACTTATATTTTCCGAGATATTCAGGTGTCTCGATCTTTTTGAGACACCCTGTAAATGACATTATAACTGATTCACATTTAGTTCTAGGATCTTATTGTGGATCATGATGCAATTTTAATACATTCATTTTTATTTTAAATTAGTGACAATTAAAAATCAATGATAATTAAAAAATATTAATGAAAATTAAACGTTTAGCAATAAAAAACGGTTAAATTATGAATAGTAATACTAATACTTTTTGCATATAAACATGTATACTATTTTTTATTCTATTTCGAATCTTAAATTAAATAATCTTTTCGGGATGGCATCATTCGTAAAATTTAACAAGTTTTTATAATAATAAACATTTTTATAATTTACGCAATAAAAATATCATTGATTAAATAATATCCGCGGATACATTTAATCAACTAAATATAACATTGATTTTTTCCATGAAATCTAATGCTATATCTACTATAAAAGCTATAAGGCAATTATGATATTACACTTTGAATGAATTTTTAGATACATACATTAGTTAACCTTGCACATTTAATTAGTTAATGATATCAATAAAATGTGTAGCGTTGTTTCTAATAAATTAAATTCAATTGACACTTGAGGAAGAGATAAAACAAATGCTAAAGAATCTTGTGAATGTTCTGTTTAATGGAAAATTCTACAATTATTTAAATATGAAAAGTAATTAGTGCCTGATCCACATCTAATGCTCTTACCCTAAATTTAAAAAAAAAACTGTATGCTGAAAAAGAGCTTTGGTTCCAGTCTTGATTGTTCGCGCGTACGATGAGATTGCAGAACATTACAGAGGAGGATCGATTCCTCGTTCGTCCGCGCAGAAAGTTGTACCGGCTGTGTAGGTATATGTGCATCAGCTTCCGAGGTTACAGACGGTTAGTAAGAAATACTCCATGGACGATTGTATCGAATCGGACTGCAGCTTGGCAGAACACTGGCATCTTTCTCGCTCGCGGTCCGCATGTACACGCATCGCTCTGTTTATATACTATGGCATAAATGCCCGGAGCAGTCGTGCGATATTACTATCTTGTTTTGTAATGAACCGTTAACATAACTATTAATACCGAAGTATTCCAGAAGCAATTTGGAGCAAAGAAGTCAAAGAATTGATTGAGCAAAGATATAGAGTTCGCTTTGCAACTTTTACAAAATTTTTAAATTCTACGTTAAAATCAAATTATCAATGTTTGTAAGTTAAAATCGTAAAATTTTATTTTTTTTTAAATTTACTAATTTGAAATTAAATATATATATGATTTTTGTCTTACGTATGGAAATTTAATAATTTTAAGATTGTAAAAAAAATGTTTTTATTTCTCTCTGTGTATAAACACAAATTTTAATAAATTGAAATTATCAATTTATAAAATTGTAATTGACTTGAGATAATAAAATTGCAAGTTTACGAACTATTAGTTTTCTAAGCGGAGCTTTACGAAATGAATCGTATTCTAGAATAGCCTTTTCATCAGAGCTGAGGCAAATCGAGCATGTGAATCGAGCATAAATGTTATTAGACAATATTAAATACAGTGAGTTTGGGGTTAGGGATAAAATTCTAATGGGGAATACGGACCCTATCGCGTGTCAGACCGGTAGTGATTATTTCTTCATGGTATTGTGCAAAACAAAAGGCGAACAATGGCGAAAACAATGAAGAAAACGTAAAAAACATGCGATAATCATAGCACTGCAAAACGTATGTACATGTGTTATGCGCTGTCAGACCAAAAGATTGATTTAAAAAAGTCAGCAATTAAGGTTCCTTCCAAATAATGGAACTAATTGTCCATGAGCGTGGAAGTTTACGGGACTTCATTGTTCGACGATCACGTTGTTGGTAAAAATAGAAATCAAACGTTATGACACATTCGTCGCTCAATGTTCGTATGTTATGTGCCGGAATACAGTGAGTCTGCATGATTTGTACATAAGCGAAACTTTCAGTATAAAATGGTTAATATATTTTAAATTTCCTTCTGATATGTAAGAATATGAAATATCACAGAATACCATAAAATTAAAATTAAGAAATTGCTGAATAATAAATATATGTATGTGTAAATACAAATAATAATGATCAAAATCATTTTAGACGCAGTTTTGTGTTAAATTAAAGAAAGACATATCCAGCTTTATGCATCCATTGCAACTGATATGTATTATAATTTAGTAACTACTCATTTTAATTTATAATTATAGTATTTTTCTTTACAAATAAATTATTACTTTATAATTAATGTGTTATGAGATTGCCTCCTCATGTCTCTGAACATGTAATTGAAAACGTTAGGAAGGACCTTGTTGTTGAGAGATTAAAGCCCCGGCTTCATCACGGAAGAAACCGTTTCTGAAAACAACCGGAAACATCGAATCAAGCGTGCCCCTCGAACGCGGGTGGCACGAGTTAGATTTTTTACTGATTTCACGCCTGGGGTCTGCGTGCGCTACACTGCAAGAAACCATGAATGGAACATATTTATGGTTAAGAGATATGTCAGCGGCATGATATTCGCCCATATATAATCAGTAAAAAATGTGTTAGAAGTTAAAATGTCACATTATAGAACATCTGTAAAGAAAAAAGTATGTGATCGTGAGCGCCTCTTAAATTCGACGTGAGACGCGAGATATTCTTTTTTTCCTAATTAGTACCTAAATCTTTCTCTATAAAACTTTTTCTTTCTTCCTTTTATAGAATTTTCTTCTTATCTTCCTTCATGGAATTTTTTCTTATTTATCTTTCTTATTTCTTTTTAAAAATATTTTTTAGAAAAGACTTCATTTTTTTTAGAAAATTGTATATATTTACCTACATGTATTTACCTACATGTATACTAATCCTTAAAAAATCTAATTTCTAGAAAAATCTAATACTGGCCAATTTAATAACGTACTGAAAGATAGTAATAAATTACTTATTTTTAAATATTAAAATCACTGTTGTTTAGTGCTTTTAGTACTCTAAACAAGCAATTAATTACAGTAATAAATTGGCCAATATTAGTAGTATTCTGTAAGGCATGCGATATTATAATCGTCAATTATCTGTCTTTAATAAGGTACATAAATCTAAAATAGACCTTTTAGTTTTATATTTAATTAGCACTATTATACTATATATGGGATATTTGAATATAAAATTTAGGTTTATGTTTTTTATACTTTTATAATTATTATCTATAAAAAATCACATATCCGAAAGAGGTTTAATGATACACCAAGAGAAGACATTATCTCAAAAGAAATTTATCGGGATATTATCGTTACGTGCAATGTATCAGGATCGAAATTAAACAAACATGCAACTCTATATGTAATAGTTTCATTGCAATCTCTTGGGCAACAAGGCGATCATTAAAGCCTGGTATTCTCTTCGTATTATAGCGGAATCGGATATCTGTACTTTTGCGGCGAGGACGGAGCATTTTCACGTCACGAATAAACCATCGACGGGACTGTTCACGACGGACACGAGACCGAAGGCCCTAAGGGAATTGTACGAGCTCGCTGCTATAGTCGCCGTACGAAGTTTGGATTCCTTGAGGAGGGATGGCAGCTCGATGGATATGTTCCTTTGCACACCGGTCCTCGGTAAAAGAAGACGGGACCATAGCCTCGACATCGAGTCTAGAGTCGTAAGTACATTCCTCTCTCTTTCTCCATGAAAATATCAGGAATGTTCCTCTCTGATTAATATTTTTCTCCGCGGTTCAAATTGATTTCAGATTAATCAACATCAAATATTTTCTTTTAATTCTACCATTATCGCAGCATCGTTTAATATAATAACAGTTAATTTTTTTAAATTCTAAAATCATATATAGTAAACATTTCTTTATGTTGATCCTGTAATATACATATATTTTGAATTAAATAACAGCTAAATATACGTCAGCAAATCCATGGTTTTTTTGGGAATTTAGAATAGAATAATAAAATATATGAATTAAGAAATAAATAGCTTTTGAATTTTTTTTAAATTTAATGTTCATCAGAAAATAAGAATTTACGATTTGCTAAAATCTCGCTCTGTAACAATTTTACTATGCGATTATTTGATGGTCTCTTATTAACGACACGTAATGTAATCTTTTTGCAAAATGAGAAAATTGCACAAGCGCGTTCATGTATATATTTTTTCAATGAGTTATATAATGATATACTTGGTTCATCGTTGTAGTTACACTGTTTCCATTGATTCCATGAAATATGGAAGAAACTGAATATTGAGTTGAGACATTTAGTTAGTATCGGATGACCGAATACAGAGATGAACATACAGTGTGTATGATTCGATAATCCTCAACATGAGATATTAACTTACATATACTAAGTGGAATTAAATCTGACCTCTTTGCCTACTTAATTCGACATAATTAACTTTCACCGTATAATTGAAGAATTCATAAGAACTCCCTCCCCCTCCTCTCTCTCATTTCTTTGAAACAGCAATTTCACCGAGTAACGTTTCCTTTTCACTTGGCATCAAATGTATCCCGATTAACTTGTATTTTTTTCTGCACTTGAATCAAATGAGACTTATATCAAACGAGAATTGTCTCGCGATACACAATTATAATATGACAATAATACTATATTTGATAAGTGGAAGCGTGTAAATTTCATAAATTATCTCCCATTAAATATTCAAGAATGATTTTTACAGATAAATTAATTGAATGTGAATATACAAATTCAATATTTGTTGGTTTTATGTGAAACAACATTGAATTTTGATGTTTATTTTAACATTCGTTATATTAAAAAATACAGATTAATTTAATGTATTAATTTATACTCATAAATTATTTTTTTTTTGTAAATTAATTCTGTACACTTTGTCTAGTCACATTTAGGAACTTTTGTAATATACAAATTGATTGCGAAATAGTTAGGTTGAATGCATACTTTTAAAATCACTATATTTCTGAGTTTACTTTTGTTTCTCGAGTATATGAGAAATTAAAACTTGCACAATGGCCTGACCGTTTTCACGTACTGGTCGCGAACAACGGCTAGTACATTGCGTGGAAAAGTTGGCAGACGGTCGGAACCCAATCCGTTCCGTATTCTGTGCGTGAAACCCGCCCGGTCGGCGAGGTGACACTCTGACAATGGTTAACACCTACGCAGGTGCCACGTAAAGCACGTCATTCGTCTTTCTCTTTTCACCGCAGCGTCGAATTTCCCGCAGGAGGTGATCCCCTTGTTGAGGGCTCCTGGATCCCGCGAAAGAAAAAAAAAACGAATTATTTGTTCTCTGGGACCAGGTCACATAATGACACTAAGCAAACAAGCGTACAAAATAGCACAACTTTCACACGGTACGAGAAACGCCTTAAGTAATCGCTGTGTTTAGTTGACTTATATCTAAGCAGTTCTCTGTAGGTATCAATAGATTGATTCATAAGATTTCATTAAAATCAATGAGAGGAAAAATATAAAGGAAAGTCATCGATATTGACATAGGTCTTCTAAAGCGACATTCCCTTATTTTTCAGAAACTAACTATTGTACTTTATTAATACTAATAAAATCATGTTCTTTTAGCTAATTAAAGAAGTACAAACTTATAATTCATATATTTGTGACTTGTTTATATATCAAATTAGCTAAAAATGAATTTTACGAATGCGAAAACAATTCTTACGATTTTCTTTTGCGTAGTTTAAATAATAGTGACTATATTATTGATAATATTACGTCGTTTCAAATGCTTGTAGTTTCCTAAATCAATTCTCTCTATTTATGTTATTTTTTCTCTTAATTTTTTCATAATACGATTTTAAATTTGAAATTGGGATGTGTAAACCGCCACACTTTTCTGTAAGATCATAAACTAACTTAATCCTTATAATGTCGCTTTATAGTGTCAAATAGTTCTGTTAGAGCTGAAGACAATCGTGCATAAAAAAAGTTTTGAAAAAACTATCGCGTTACATTTGCATTACAGAACAGTATAAAGTAAATATGCATATAATTCAATAAAAATGTTTTATAACGAAGTAAAAAGATTCTGAAAAATCTTATATTCACTTATAGGTACTTTATACAGATAATTCCTATAAAAAAAAAAGAATAGGAATACGTAGCATTACTGCCTACTGTGTCAGTTTTGGAGCCCATTTTGTCAGATACTCATTTTTGTTTATCTTACGAAAAAATTAATTATTGCAAAATTAATAATCAGTATTATAAAAACTGCTTATACTATCTGATAAAAGACATTTTTAGTTTGTACTTATGTTTTTAAAGTTTTATTTTTACTTTTTGTTTAAGAAATATTGTCTAAAAACAAAGTGGTATGTCGGTATATCGGCGGTATTTCTTCTATATATAGGAATGCTTTTTTATAAAAGAAATATCCTTTATATAATCGTACACATTTTATAATTATATCTTTTTAGATACATTGAATATGTAGGCTAACTCCGCTATATACGCCGCACCTATTAAAAACTTAATTTATTAAGTATTATTTATTATGTTTATAATAAACGAACTATATTAGAAACTTTGTACTGCCTGTTACTATGAAAAAAATATTAGAAATCCGAAATATTTATTTTTCATATTAAAAAATACACTTTTTGAAACCCTTGCATTTTTGCGTATATCCCATAGGAATATATGGCTACTCCTAGGGGGGGGGGGGGGGGGTATGTACGACTCAGGAAAAATTTACAAATAATGCATATAAATAAGTTGTAAAATGACATAATAACTTATAAAATGCGTTTATAAAATTTTATTAAGGAATAAGAAAAAAAAATAAATATGTATATGAAGTAATAAATAATAATTACAATCTTCCTACATATATTACAAGTGTTATAACATGTACATATTTCATATAATGCGTTTATTGCGTTTAGTGCACTGAATTCAATCTGCGCACTTTGTATGCTTTGGGCATAAATCTCGTTCGCTAAAAATGCTGTATATTCCAAACAGATGAGATATACAAAACAATCAAATAAACAAAGAACACGAAAGCAAAGCACTTGTATTTTGCTACACAATATGCTTTACTATTCCACTACACATATATATCACAAAATAACCACTGTCTTTTACACGTGTTACATACCAATAAAATCCCCTTATTCTTTATAGAATAATATATTCGTCATAGGTATACAATTTATACTTTACTTTATCTTATCGCTAGATTCCTATTTTATCCTTATTTCGAAACCGGAAATTCCGTTTCTCTTTTATATTCAGTTTCTTTATTTGAACATTCAAACTCTAACAGATAGATCACGTTATGTACTTTTATGCGTCATAAAAATTATCTATAGAATATTCTAGAAAGAATGTCTAAGAATATCACACGATCTTTCTCAAAGAAGCCCTCCTATAAAATAACAAATATAAAAGCGTATTATACATTAACATTAATAATAACGTATATTATATTAGCGTTTAACGATTAAGTAATTAGCAGTAAAATAGAAACCTTCCTGAATGCGAGAACGAATATCTTTTTCTTTTTTTCCCTTTTTCTTTTTCTAATAAAGTTAAATTAATCTTAAATATATGAATGTAGTGAATTCGCCTCGCATAAAGAATATTAAAGAAAACCGAATTTTTATAACAAATTGTTAAAATTCAATTATTACTTATTAAGAATAAACTTGTAGAGTGGGGAATAGGGTTTACGCGGAGTCTTGCTGCCATAAAATCTCAAAGGAAGCACGAGTATAGGTTCTACCAAATTTTGAGAAGTGTCGATTGGTTCTGAAAGGACACTCCCATACTCATTTTCAGTATATAAAGGGAGCTGTCGAAGACAGAAATGTACATTTTTATACATTTTTATTCACAAACTCTTATACTCAAACTCTCAAACTCGGATTCTTAGACTTAGGCTTAGACTTAGACTCACTTTCAGACTCGCACTGCTTCGATCACTCAGCCAGTCAGTCAGTTACAGTCAAGGTGAGAACTATCCTCGCGCTTCATCAGAACTTCGTTTTCGCATTTATCTTTTTTTTTAATAAACGATAATATCAAATCGAATCTATCGACGGAACGTCTAAATCTCTAATCTCTAATTCTTCATACAAATATACATATATATATGAATATCTGAGGAGTCGTTGCGACTGTCGCTGCCAATAGCGTGGCCCCCGTTTACGACAGTTCTCCGGAACATTATAATTCTTTTTTTTGCATTAGTTCCATGCCTACCAAAGGCGGACGAAGACAAAGGGAAAAGAGATTGAGGTTCCAAGTTAAATCGGCCCTTATTTCGAATCAAGATCCTTTCCCCTATTTCCAAAAACTTGCGCAATTGCTAGACCAAGACAAACCGGTAGACTCATCCCGCGAACCTGTCTATACTCTAAATAAATTGGAGGTCAACCTCACGTTTCCTAGTTACAAAACCATTCCAAAACACGATCCACGTAGATTCGCTTGTAAACTTCGCGATCTTTTTGGCACCGGATTCAAGGTTACCCTTCCTTTAAATTATACAATACTTCCCAGTGAATCGCATCCTTAACTACACAACTTAATCTCCGGTCCCCGAGTAAATTGTTTAAATACATTGACTCAAAAACGGAGAAAAAATCTCAATAACGACATTGAGACGTAACACACGTCCTACGTTAATCATTTTATGTAGATTATATTGTAATTTATGATGACGTTACTTTACAGTGACAAATCGATTCAACTCGACACAATAAATTCATTAACAATAAGAAGCTAAAATCATAACACAATATTACAATAATATAACATAAAGAGTAGTTGCAGGAAAATCACTCCTTCTATTTTTTCTGACTTCTGTAGCGTAAATCTCAGCGCGGCGTATTTGCCTAAAGTTATCCTATATAAAGTTTAATAATTCTATAAGTATATTTTCTGTCCATAATGTTTAAAGATGCAAACGTGATGATAAATCTCAGCGCAACGTATTTGCCTAGAATTATCCTATATAAAGTTTAATAATTCTACAAGTATATTTTCTGTTCATAATGTTTAAAGATGCAAACGTGATGATAAATCAATATAAATAATTAATCGATATAAGTATAAAAGGAAATATTTTATAGGATGGCAACTTTATTTGCGTGTATTGTTTTGTTGCAGCCGGCTGCTATCGAAGATCTTCGAAGATGGACATCCACTGAAGCGCTCGGTGACGTCACTGTACCACCGGACTGTGCATCCAGGATCTTGGGCGACACGACTAGCGACGATGCTGTCGATCACAAGCTACCTAGCCCCGAGGAACAGGTTCAGGCTATCGCGCTCAAGTAAGCGGTTTATCTCAACACGTCACTTGATTGCTGATAGAACAAGAATTGTAGAAATCGCCGCACGAAATACAGAGACTGACAGAGATCGGAACATCATTTTTACTATTGAGGATGTGGTTTATGAATGATAATCTTAATAAAGTATCACAAAAATTTATTTTCAGCATATGTCAATAGATTTTAGATCTTTAGTTAAAAAATATACAGTTTTTATAAAAGTATATAAAAAATATACAGTATTTATAAAAATATATACAGTTACGGACAAATTGAGTGGAGAGATAGTGGAAATAATTATAAATGAAAATTAGTCAGAATAGTGTTACTATTATATAACTATGTTTTATATTATATATTTTTATGATACATAGAATATTTAGTGAATAATTGAAAATAACATTTACATTTTTGTACACGCAAACTATATTGAACGAAAAAATCAGCTAATTGTCGAGAGACAAAAATTAGTGGACACTTGATTAAGACACTTGATTATTGGAACTAAATAGTTAGTTTGAAACTACTATGTGAAAAGGAGAATTACGCATCGCATTTGTTTACGTTTTTGTCCTATAGTAACGTCTTAACCAAGTCCACTTATTTTTGTCTCTCGTCAATTGATTTTTCCGTTCAATATGGTTTGCGTGTACAAAAATGTAAATGTTATTTTCAATTATTCACTAAATAATTGATATATAACTATGTATAACTGTTAAAATCGATATACCTTTAGGAAAAACGTAGATTTAAATTCTTATATTAAATATAAAGCAGGGAGAGTGTGAACGCAAGAATAACAATTTTGAATTAAATTATTTTATTGCTACTGTTATTATGATGAGGCACAGTCAATTTACAAAAGCATAAAACATTATTAAATAAATTAATTCCATCGAACACGTAATGAAAGGATACTGAACCAAAATGACGGTGGTTACGCACCGTAACGTAAGGAATAATCAAGTATTACAATAATTACAGTATTTCAAAAATGGTATCAAAACCGTATCAAATACGTATACCCGGATCGGATTTCCGGATGATTACCAAATAATTATAAAGTCGTATGTGAGGAGCTAGCGTAAGTTTTTGTGTTCTTGAATGTCACGATCTCCTTTTAATAACTTCGATGCTGTCTATGATCCTTGATAATATACCAGAAGGGAGAATCGTCATGAAATATATACTCGATTCACTGATCCGAGGTGGCTCGAAAGTTTCGTGTAAGTAAGCGCTCTACAGGTACTAGCTGTGCTTGTGAGGCACGATACTTGGATCCTTGATTGCTAAGCTTAGCGAAAGTTTGACTGAGTTGGGCTTAAGGTTCCAATCACAGAGATCGAGCACTTCTAGATTTGACTCTCATAAGACCGAACACTTCTAGACTCGATTTTTGTAAACATACGTACACACGAAAGAGTTCTACTAGACTCGAGAAAAATCAAGAAGGGTGGAAAAACAAGCAAAGAGGAGAGGTTGTTAAGACAAGATGGACGCGCACTAGCACCCCCATCTACAGCGCCGCCTCTGCTTATCCAACTTACATTGTTACCAACATGCACTAAGATAAATTTCAAGTAGCAACTTTAATCATTCCGCCCGCCTTCATTAACAGTGTTAATGAAAAGAAAGAAAAAAAATATCACAATGTTTCGTGAAAAATTGGAAGAGGACATACCTTCCCAACAGAGCGCTTCAGTACTGAGGTGTAAGTCCGTATGGTAACAACTCGAATAAGTCCGTCAGTTCCAGGATGAGTTTGAATAATACGCCCGAGAGGCCATTTGCAAGATGGATACTGTTCATCGACTACAAGAACTAAATCCCCGATGCTAGGAAAGGTGTGGGTTTGTTCCATTTGTATCTAGCATAGTAGCGTTGCAGACACTCTTTGGACTATCTAGTCCAAAAACTTTCTCATTTCGTATTAATTGCTACCTGAAAAGGTGAGAAAGTTTCATGTGTTCAATGGATGGTTTCGGGAATGACAGAAGGTACATAGCCTATTAAAAAATGACCGGATGTTAAAGCTTGGAGGGCATCAGGATCCTCTTAAGACGCTTAGGGGTCGGGAATTTAGCACCGCCTCTATTTGAGTCAAAAGAGTAGAAAATTCTTCTTAGGTAAGCAAATTATTTTCTATAATTCAAAGAAGATGAAGTTTTACGGATTTAACTCCTGCTTCCCATTTTTCACCAAAATGTGGAGCAGATCGTGAGTTAAATCGCGATTGCATCATTAGCCAACAGTGGCGAGTGGTTTGTCTGACTCTTGAGTAGATAATGTGAATAATTGCAGCTCTGCATCAGCACCCTTAAAATTGATCACTGGACAAAGTAGAACAGATACCACATCGAGTAATAAATCTTTTAAATGCAGCTATAAATCCTTCTGCAATATAAGCGGTAACGAGCTCCAAATGATATAGCATAGCAAACAAAGAGCGCGATATATGCTTTGGCGCAATATAAGTTTTGATATTTTTTCCCTTCCATATTTTGATGACGAATGAGCCAGCATAATCTACTCCGATGTGTAAAAATGTGTCTTGAAGGTGTTATTCTTTCTACAGGCAATTGCCCCATCAGTTGTTGTGCTCTCTTTTGCGGAAACGTGAACATCTTATGCATTTAAGAATAAAAGACCATACACCTATGAGTAGAGATTGTCCACCTATGATTCAATAGTCGTGTCTTATATACGACAATGTGACTTGAATACCACCATGCAAGGTACGCAGATGAGTATCTGCAATAATGAGTGTAGTTAAAGATGAATCCTTTGATAGGATTAATGAATGTTACTCTGACAGTGAAAAAAGAAAACATTGCAATCGACCTCCAATATGTAAAAGACCATTTGAATCCATGAATGGTGTAAGACGTAAAAGAGGATTGGACGTAGACAATGAATTTTGTTTTGCAAGAATCTTTACCTCCTGGTGAAAGTGCGATTTCTGGACTGAGCTTACCCAGAACAATCTAGCGTCCTCCAATTCTTTGGTAGTAATCGTTGAATTCGATGTCTGTCTGAGTTTAGCGATAGCTCTTCGACAAAGAGCAGTGATTCAAACGAGTTTGTTTAAGCTAGAATATCTATACATGAGATCCCATTTTAGATGTGACAAGAACTGCATTCACTTTAGCCGGTTTTTCTTCGAGAAGTTCTTTGACAGTTGAAATAGCTAAAAAGGGCCAATTCTAAGGCGATTGTGACAACCAAGATGGTCCAGTCCACCATGTTGAATGTTCCGAAGGTTGATGAGGAGTTAATCCTCTCGTAGCCAAATCTCGTTATCAGGGATGAACTTCCAGGTTGCTTGAGGTAATGTATCTTGAATGTGAATGAACAAACTCTGTTGTACATAAAGTCTTTCCACCACAATGGATGGTTAGTAAGCCACAGTATGTGATCGATGAATCAGTCCACAAACAAATAGAGGAGTTCAAGTGACCTAATGTAATCAGCAAATGCGATACTTTCGTTAGCAAGAAAGCTCCCGTCAATTCCAAACGTGGAAGGATAAGTCTTTTAAGAGGAGCTACCTTTGTCTTGGAGGCCAGTAAAATGGTTATTATTTCCTCTTGCTCGTTAATCGTGCGAATATATACAACCACAACCATAGCTATCTGTGATGCATCACAAAATCCATGAAGTTCAGTCAAGTTACCAGATTTACATCCTATCCACTATGGAAATGTAAGATTGTTCAGATCCTGTAAATTGTCGAGAAAATTGCATTTGTTAGCTATAGAATCAGGCAATGGATCATCCCAACCCAGCTTAAGAGACCAAAGCTCTTGTATACTGATCTTGGCAGATAATAATTGGTGAAAGGAGCCCGAAGGATCGAACAATCTAGCTATAGTAGATAAGATAATTCTTTTAGTTACAACTTCTGTTCTAGATAGATTTAAAGTGAACTGGAATACATCCTCAGACGATTACCAACATAATCCAAGAGTGTGAACGATTAAATTGTTCTCAATTTGAACGGTAGAATCACTAATTTGTCTTTCCACGGGAACGTGTTCTAGAGTCTTAGGATGATTGCTGGTCCATTTCTGTAAGCTAAAACCGTTCGTCCTGCAAAGTCGTAAGAGTTGATCTATGATTTCTTGTGTCCTTTCAACGCAATCAGCTCCATCAAAAACATCAACGATATATCTTCCTCTTTTCAGTACAGAAATCGCTAAAGGATACTTCGAACTCTTATCTTTTAAAAGTTGCAAAAAATCACATAATGAGATACGGAGCACAAACTAAACTATATGTGACCGTAATAAGTTCGTAGGTGAGAAGTCCCTTATCTGGATCCATCCACAAAATGCGCTGAAATGCTCAATGATCTGGATGAACTTTTGTCGAAACATTTTCTCGACATCAGTAGAGAACACGTAACGAAATAATCGGAACCATATAAGTAATCAAATAAAAGTTATCAAATAAGGTTTGCAATTTTTCTCCAGTATGTAAAAGATCGTTTAACGAATATCCCGAAGTGATAGGAACTGTTAAATACAATTCTTAACTTCGTAGTAAACGTAGACTTTGCTCTCTTAGGATGCCATGATGTGGCAGATAATAACCGTACGAAGTAGGTGACTGGCCATTTAGCACCAACTGCATGTGTTGCAATCTTTCGTGTTCATTTAAGAAATCTGAATAAGCGTGCGCGTAATTAGCATTAATTTCAAATTGATTTCTCAATTTCATAGCGAGTTGTAATACTTTGGTATGAGATTCTCCTAGGTTTTCAATCGATTGTTTAAAAGGAAGTTTTATCATCCTTGACGATATATCATTCTTGATTATCTCTAGTGTGTAGATTGGAAGTGGTCTTCACATTCCTGGTCTGCTAATGACAGACAAGAAGGTCTAGTTAAGGGAAGTTCTTTTAGTCTAAAATTTGCGTAATAGATTGTAAAGTTCATAGTCCAAGGTGACATGAAATCCGCGAGCAATCCTTATAGCAATATTATTATTGATAGGACCAGAAATAATCCATCCAAATTTTGTTCGTTGTGCGATGGAAGAATTTTTCTGTCTCTTAATTATCCTTAATTACCTTCTTCTATG